GTCCTAAGAAAGGCAAAGAAATTAGGACAGGATGATCCCAGAAGAATCATTCACTCCTTTAAAGTTGGATTTGCTATCTCTTTAGTTTCCCTTTTCTACTATTTCCAACCTCTTTATGATGGGTTCGGTTCCTATGCAATGTGGGCTGTTTTGACTGTCATCGTCGTCTTTGAATTCTCTGTAGGCAAGTCAACTCTTTCTCTTTCTTTAATTGACCTTCATCATCCACTACTTTATTCATGTTGTAAAAATGCTGAGTTTGTTTTTCGTGGTTTGATTCCAGGAGCAACACTTGGGAGGGTTTTAAACAGGGGATTAGCAACATTTCTGGCTGGAGGTTTAGGCTTTGGAGCTTATCGCATGGCCAACTTGAGTGGGGAAATGGTCGAACCCATATTACTTGGCGTCTTTGTTTTTCTGCTAGCTGCGTTGGTGACATTTGTGCGATTCTTTCCCCAAATGAAGGCTAGATATGATTACGGATTGCTCATATTTATCTTGACCTTCAGCTTAATCTCTGTATCTGGGTATCGCGAGGAGGAGCTTCTGGACATGGCGTACAGAAGGGTCTCGACCATCCTGATCGGCGGCTTCACCGCCGTTTGTGTCTGCATTTTCGTTTGCCCTGTCTGGGCCGGCGAAGATCTTCACAATTTGGTCGCCAACAACATTGAGAAACTAGCTAATTTCATGGAAGCTTTTGGGGATGAATATTTCAAGGTAGCAGAAGATGGGGAGTCCAGCAGGGCATCCTGTTTACAAGGGTACAAGAGTATCCTCAATTCAAAGCAGGCTGAAGAATCCTTGGTGAGTTGTAATATATTAAACAAAAAAAATTAAGTTTCTTCTTACCCAGAAGAAAGCTTGAATTTTTATTTTTTTTTTGGTACTTTTGCAGGCTAATTGTGCAAGATGGGAACCTCGTCATGGGAAGTTCAGGTTTCGGCATCCCTGGAAACAATACCTCAAGATTGCTAGTCTCACTCGGCAATGTTCTTACAAAGTAGAAGCTCTAAATAACTACCTCAACTCTGAGATTCAGGTACCAAGTCACCAACTTCTATATATTC